GACTTCCACCGCCCCCCGCTCCTCCCCACCCCGGGTTGCCTCCGAGGGCTACGCTCGGCGTCCGAAGCTCCAGCCCCAGTTCCTAGGGCGGAGGTTTCCCGGAGGTTTCCCCCGCGCACTCTGCCTCCACTGGGGCCCGCCCCTGGGCAGAGCTACCCTCCCCATCCTGTTCCTACCCGGGGCTCCATCCTGAATTCTGACACCTGCCCCGGGCTGAGGTCACCCACCCACCCATTGTGCCCCCTTCTGGGGCTCCATCCCCAAGTTCCCGCATCTGCAGAGGTTTCTCCCATTCACGCACGCTCTGAGTGTCCCCTTTCCGTGTTGCCACCTGCTCCATCAGCCCACTTCCATCTCTCCGATGAGATCTCTGTTTCCTAATCTGCAAAGTCGGGCTGACAACCTCGACCTCATTTACCCAGCACCTAACCAGACGACCCACACCGAGGGGATTCCGTGCTTGGGTTTATTACTGGTGGTCACCCTGCGTGCGTCCATTGCCCTTGTCGCCTTGGTTGGGGGAAGGCGAGCGTTCAATAGCAGCTTCAAAGGTCAGGGACTGCGAACGCCCGCCCCGGCTCCACCCTCCAGCTCAGGCCTCGGACCAGTACCCTCCGCGGTCGGGCTGGAGACCAGAACCTGGCGCGGCAACATGACACGCGGCCACCGCCTCCTGCTGGAGAACGCGCGGCAGGTGGTGCTGGTGTGCGCCCGCGGCGAGCGCTTCCTAGCGGGGGACGCGCTGCGCAGCCTGGCAGTGCTAGAGGGCGCCAGCCTGGTGGTGGGCACGTAAGTGACCCGGTGCAGGGTGGGGGCTGCAGCCCGCTCAGCCCAGGCCGCACTTGGAGGGAAACCGGGGAAGGGGGCGTCAGCGGGGAGACAGCTTTAGGGACTGGGGAGACATAGAGGGGCCTGTGTGTCCGCACCTGTTGCTGACATGCATGACTGCTTTGAATCGTCATTCGGTGAAAAAATTGCTTAGGCTGAGCAGCCCCATAGATCCTACCTCTTTGCCGGTAAAACCATTGTCCAATAATCAGGAGTTGGGGACCTCTCTGTTGGTTCTTGAAGTTCCGCCAGAGGGCGACTTTTATCAGGACTGCCTGTGGTTTTTAAATTTTCTTTTGAAGTAGGTTTCTGACTCTTCTATCCCGGATTTTTTCAATGAGCATTTCCCGGGGTGGAGTTCTGAGACTTGATTTTTAAATTTTATCTTGTTTTATCTTTAAAATTTTTGCCAGAGGGCCCGTGCAATGTCAGAGAGAGAGAAAGACAGAGAGAAAGCACCTCCCTATGGAGTGTGGTGACCTCCTTCTCCCCAATCCTGGTACCCTCTATTTCTGCATCCTTTTGGGACTTTGGGCTGCTGGCTCTTGGTGAGTGCTTTAAGCCACTGGGCTAAGATTGGAACCTCTGGCCTGTCCATGCGGAATCAGTTCTCTTTACCATTAGGCCTCAGCCCTCCCTGAAACCTGACTTTCTAAAAAAAAGTACCTGCTTCATCTGGGTAGCCTGTGCACTACAGCTTGCCAACTCCAAAAATACTTTTAGTAGATGGTGATAACTTTGGGAGATAGGAAATCAAGATTTAGCCAACAGAGAAAGAGGTGCCATTTTCAGTTATTTTTTTTCTTAACCATCTGAG